GAGAGAGAGAGAGAGAGAGAGAGAGAGAGAAAGAGAGAAAGATTTACATTCCTCTGTATGTATATATGTGTGTCTATATAGATATGTATATAGACACACACATGCCAAGATTCATTATTTCTCACCATCGATAATCTGTTTGCATTTGGGGGATGTGTGTGTCTGTGTGTGTGTGTGTGTGTGTGTGTGTGTGTGTGTGTGTGTGTGTGTAGTAGGTATACATGCACGCATGTCCCAATGGAGGGTAATATACCATGTAACTGGTAACAAGTAATTAATGTTATTTACCATCGATAATCTGTTTGCATTTGGGGGATGTGTGTGTCTGTGTGTGTGTGTGTGTGTGTGTGTAGTAGGTATACATGCACGCATGTCCCAATGGAGGGTAATATACCATGTAACTGGTAACAAGTAATTAATGTTATTTCTCTTCTGCCAGGAGTGAGGCTGAGAGAACTTTTGTTACAGCCGGACTTGTAGCAGTCCAGGGCAGGACCGCAGCGCAGTGATTTTTACTTCCTTTTCTCCTAGGACAGTTTCCATTGGCTTTTGTGGGTTTGGGAAGTGGAAGAGGTGATGAGGTGAAAGGGTTCCTAGTTTTCTGCTTGCAAGAAGTTTGCTTTGCTTTTAAGACAGGAAACCATTCAAATTATCCAGTCATCTGCCTGCAATCAAAAAATAGTTCAACCCATTCCACAACATCAAAAATGGTATGGTCCATTCCACCATACCTTTTAGACCAGACCACTAAATCGACAAAGGAGGCTCTCTCTGAGTTAGCATTCCTTGCAACCTTCTCCATGTTCCCCTCTCACTGCAGTCCCAGATGTTCCAGTTCCAATTCGTTCAGACTGCCACATGTTCAACCACCTAGAACTCTGACCTTCCATCCTTAACACACCTTAGCCATACCTCTGGGTGGCTTTGTTGTCCTTTGACTCATTTTTACAAGTAAATAAATACACTCACTAACTTCTGAAAAAGATATAACTCGAATTCTTTCTTCCTGATGCTCGATCTGTTGCTAATTTTGACATAACAGGTCAAAAGGTCTGGAAAATTCAGCCTAGAGAGTTTTAAAATAGGGAAGGAGCACAGGATATTTTGAGAAATGCCATGTGACGTTTTCAATGGTCATCTTTAAAAACACAGCTCCTTTCTTCATAGTCGTCTTCTTCTCTCTCTCTCTCTCTCTCTCTCTTTCTCTCTCTGTCTCTCTCTTTTTTATCTCCACTTGGAATGAATAAGGCTAATTAATTTCAGACCATACTTGATGAAGTCAGCACCATACGAGGGGCTGCGTGCGAGACATGGCTGATTTCTTTCAGCTGAGAGTGATGAATTAAAGATGAAGCTTTGCTTTCACAACCCTAATTTAAAATGTATATATTAAAAAAAAAAAAAACTATCGCAAATAATGCTTATATCCTCCATAACAAAGAAAAACTTGTTCTGGCGCGCTCCCATGATGTGTTGAGTTTTGAAGGAAATCTTTGATTCTTGTTGGCAGCTCAGCTGTGAATGGGTGAAACAGATCAGAAAATGCACAACCTGGCTTTTTTTTCCTGGATGTTTTGCTGAAGTGTGTGTGTGCATGTTTTGATTACCTTCTGCTTTCACTGAGGGCCCCTTGCTTGGACCTATTACATATTGTTTAAGGGTGCATGTAAGGCAGTTTAAAGGTGGGGTCTTAAAAATGTAAATTGCAAATACATATCTGGAGGGGGAGGCAGGGAGGCAGGACTGGAAAACTAGCTGAGGTGCAAGACCAGGAAATGGAGATTTTATAAGCAGATTGTGCATTTCTTTCACCAACGTTCAGAAGAAAGGAGAAAAATGGGAGTGGCTCATACTATAGCTGCAATGTATTTTTGTATATCATCCATTCTTCTTTGAATGTATTTTTTTCTCAGTGTATTTCCCTACCTTCATATCCACTCTGCACTTTCTGAAAGCAATGAGATTTCTCAGCAGATACACATATATAGGGTTGCTCTTTTACAATGGTCATCAAGATCCCATAAAAGATACCTAACACAAATATTTTAGAAATATGCACTTTTATTTCAGAATAGGCACTTAATTAAAAGGCTGAAAAGTAACCAATTTAACAGGTCTTTGGTCAACGGAAGCCCTAGAAAAAACTTCAGCAAGTTTTGGACATCACCATGTAAGCTGTATCTATATTGTATCTTGTTTCAAGTAGATTTCTACTGCCCACATCCAAGCTATGAAATGTCAGCTTTCTTAATGATGTTGCCTATTGATGTCATGTATATATCCTTGGGCTGAGTTTTCCATGTTCTTCCTAGCAGGTATATGGCGTAGATTGTTTGATAGCTTTTATCAAGTCTGTGTGATAAAATAAGCCCATCTCAAGATTTGGCTGACAACGGGAAGCATTCTTCAAGTGCATGGGACGACCATGTACATTCTCACCAGAGATGCAAAGAGCCATTGCTGAGCATTTCTCAGGACTTTTTATGCTAATCTGCTGAAACATGGATGGAACATGGATGAGAAATTGAGCTTCTACTGTAAGCAATGTACAGAATGTGAATGCAACATTAGTCTCACCTATAAAAATGCTTAAAGATAGAAATGCACTCATACTCATGAGCCTTGGGGGTTCAAGTCTCCCTTTACCCAAGGAAGCCCACTGGATGTCTTGAGGCAATCACTAGCTTTCAACCCAGCCTTCCTCACAAGTTTATTGTTCTCAGCATCAAAGAGGAGGAAGGAGTACAAGGTACACCATGTTGAGCCCCTGGAAGAAAGGCATGATAGAAATGGAATAAATGAATAAAAGATCAGTTTTGATTTAGATCTTAAACCATATGGGTCCCAGTTATCTCTTCATACGCTTTGAGATCTCTAATTGTAGTAACAGTGGTTGGTAATATGTACAATTGTGGTTACTTGTGTAACAGCTTTCTCAAAGCTTTGTATGTGTTTGAAACTGTGGTCTGAGCTAAGCTATTCATACTGTATATCAAAAGTTCTTTGAGCTTTGTTCAAACAAGAGCCTATATGTTTGCGCAAACATATACATTTACTAAACAAACAAACCTTTTTAAAACCTCACAATCTTGATTCTGGAGTGAAGACCAGTATCCCTTCTTCCTTGTTCATGGGGAAGATCTGAACACAAGCTACTGTATAGTCACGTTTGGCTGAAGATGGTTAGAGTTCTCTGTGCAACCAGAAGCTGGACAGCTCAGGTCTCCAAACTGGAGAAAAGACCACAGAGTCAAGATTTTACATTCATGGTTAGAAATGTGAGCCTGAAAAGGGCTCTAGATTTCTTGTTCTAAGATCAGAGTGAGAACTTGCATTGTATTTCCAAGGAAATAGTTTTTTCAGTACATTTACATATTCAGGGGCAAGGCAGAAGTGGTAGACCCGTATGATTCAATCAATATTGTACCAAAATCTGTCTTGCAATTTCTGAGTTTTCTTCTCCTGAGGAAGCAGCTTCTGCTTTTCAGTCTTCTCAGAGTGCCTGAGAATTTCTTTTGAATCACTCTTGGGAGCGTTACTGAGTTTATTTTATTGTCAGTGGTGATGGAGAGAATTATTACTGGTGGGATTCTATGTGACATCACTATCCATAAGTCTACAGCCTGGCTCTTCACATTTCCTAACTTCATCCTGATGTCTTACCTTAGGATTGAAGGAAAGCTGGAGGCAGCTGGAGAAAGGCAAGGACCCTGACAGATAGAACATTCTAACTTACATTTGGCTACCTGTCACTAACTAGGTGCAACAACATTATACTGTACATGTATCATGCTAGTTGAATTTGAACTAGCCCAGAAGATATATGAGGATTTTCTTTTCTGTTGCTGTTCCTGATCTGGCCTGCCTTATATATTGTTCCGATCGATACCACTTGTGCGACTTCCACAGGAATCTCCCCAAATCTCCCAGAATGACACTATCAGCAATAATCCTATGGCCCACCCCAAGCTATGGAAAGTATACTTCACCACAAGTCTCCTCCACCCAACTTCCATCTTCCAAACTTAAATAGGAGGAGGACGTCATTCACACTGGCTCTTCACCAACTTGATGAACTCACCAAGGACAACAAAAAGTGTCTCCTTATACCTGGAGACAGCCTTGAGGGGACAGGAATATCTAACCTTGCAGACCATGTGACAGACATTGACTCTTTCTCATAACTATGAATCCCAGATGCTTTTTGGACCACAAAGCCTATATCCAGAGGCCAGGTGATCCATGATTTTAGGAGTGATAGTCCAGTGATATCTGGGGAACTGAGGTTGCATCCTGGGAATGAGAAGGTACACAGAAGGTAAATGAATGTTGACCTAGAGATAGCAACAGCAGGTTTTAGAGACATTGGCTTCCATAAATCTAACCTGATATACCCAAAAACATATACAATGGTTGAGTCTGCACATCACACTAAGGCCTAGTTTTATTTAACTATGATTTATTGAAGAAACTACTCTTTGATGGCTTTCCTCACACACTAAACGATAAAACATGATTTCCAAGCCACCAAGGCTATGTTCATAAAGTATGCTAAATCTTAAATGTCCATTCTTGCCAGTGAATTCTTCTGAGGAGACAGACAGCTGGGTCGGGGGGGGGGAGTGAAAGAGGAAACTAGTACAGTTATTCCACTACAATTTTGAGTTAATCATATTGTTCTGACATTTTCAACTGGTGCTTCTACACAGCTGCCTAGCTTTGTGTCTCAGTAGTCCTCATTAGAAGAAACCTGTTTTGCATTATGGCTGACTTACACACTGAATCAATCATCTGATCCATTGATTGCTTCTGAAATTATTTTAGTTCCTTAATAATATACCTTTTCTCCACTACCTCCAGACTGTGATTAAACCCAGGCAAGGCCCATCAGTGTCTGACAAATATATGGGGAGATTCTTTGGGACAGGAAAGGACAGATAAGATTCCAGATTTTTCTTATTGAGGAACCATTAGAGCATATAAATTTGGTCATTTGGTGGTAGGTCCTGTAGAGATGGTTGTAATAAATGCAGATTGATATATTATGCTAGCCAAATGGGGTTTATGGATTGTGGCTCATGATTCATAATTCTCTGATGCCGTTTCTAAACTAGGCTCTTGCTATAGTTTGGAAGACAACATTCTGAATGAAGCATTATTATTCCTCTTCCAAATATATTCCTTGGTCCGATCAAGGGACAATTATTTCGGGTTCCCTTTTAAGAGAACACAAAATCTTATCAGAGAATTAATTCCATCACACAAAAACAGTAGGGACTGACTTCTGAGTGTAGGTCCTAACAGATATGTGGTACAGTTTGGAAAGCCCATCCATAAACAAAGAAGAACAAACCAGGTACAGCTGGATGCATTTAGTTGAAGAAATCCAGGGCCAAATGTCAAGCTATTAGGTGCATTAAACCAGCCAGATGTCTAGGGAAATACTAGCCAATTTTCAGTGCATAGACTGGACCTGGTCCCTAAAGCACTTAGTTGTTTATTTTGAACATTGGATCCCAACATCTTGATTCAATATGAATATATTCACCAATTTAGCATTTTAAAGGGAGTTTAGAACCAGTCAAGGGTAGGCCACCTGGTGTCCTCCAGATGCTGTGGATTTCAGCTTAGCTTTAGCAAACAATGGGAATGGACTATATATAGTCCAAACATCTGAAAAGCACCAGGATACCTATTCTTGGAATAATTCACGGAGAATAACTTTGTGGGCATAAGAAGCTGACCTCTACTCAAGTATGCCTTTCAATTTATCTAGTTAAGCTTTATTTCTATGGACTAGCAATAGTTCTACCACAGGGACTGGAAAATTGCAGCTACAGGACAGCATGTAGTCTCTGAACTCACATTCTGCAGCCTTCAGAGTCCCCTTGCTCATATGTGCTGAAAACATGCCACACTGAGGTGGGAAGCAGTTGAAAATTGTAATATAAGTACTCAGATAAGCAAAGCACAGTTAAAAAACAAAGAAACACCTTAATGCAACCCAGAGAAATTGCCCTGACTACATGTGTGATGTGGTTCCATCTCTACAAAATATTAAATGTTATACTGGACTATTGAAAAGTTGCACACCTGTAGTCCACAACCTTTTCCTGCATTAATTGGAGATTCTCAAGATTGAATCTGGGACATGGAGCATAAGAAGTGTGTATTCTTCTACTGAGTTACAGCTCAGGGACTAGGCTTCCCCAGTCTGATGCCCTCTAGATATTCAACTGGAAGGTTGCCACGGTTGCAGAAGACTAGTGTAGCCTATAGTTATCCAGAAGAAGGTCATACTGGAGGTCCAGCATTGTATAATGATAAAGGTATTGGACTAGGGAAAAGGAGACCCAAGTTCTAGTCCTCCTTTGGCACAGAAGTCATCTGGATGACCTAGGGCCAGTCCCTCTTTCTCAGCCCAACAGCCAGTGTGGAGTAGTGGTGGTGCTTGACTAGGAGTAGGAGATTCAGGTTCTCATCCTCCCTCAGTCATGGAAGCTCACTGGTTGACTTTGGCCTCATCTTTCTGTCTCAGCCCCACCTACCCCCTGCAGATGTTGTTGAGGAGAAAACTACAGAAAGGGAGTGCTTGAGTTCCTGAATGAAAGGTGGGGTATAAATTTAATAAATAAATACTGGGCCAAGTTGGCAGAGGTAACAGCTCTCCAAATGTCATCATGATCATGTCCATCTATTCACCAACACTAGTATGAGAAAAAATTTTCCAAGGGGAAACGCTGGTTTTCATAACTTGTTTCTGTCCAAATAGATCATCAGATCTTGTTGTCCTGCATTGTGAGAAAATTTGGAAAGGGAAAGGAAAGGGAACAGCCAGATCAAACAGAAGGGAATGGTTATTGTTGTTATTGTTAGTTGCACAGTCAGCCAGATGTTTAGACTGGATTTGGCATTTTTATTCACTTATCAAGCCCTTCCCAAGGACCTGTGATAGGCAAATGTTGTTGTTTGGTGGTGTTAAAGGTTTCGTTGCAGGATGGAAGCTGTTCCAAGTAAAGCTGCCTTTTGCAATTGACTGATGGTGATTTTGTCAATGCCGATGGTCTTCAAGTGGTGCTCCAGATGTCCAAGGCACCTATTACTATTGGTACTTTCTTTGCTTTCTTTTGCCACAGTCATTCTATTTCTATTTGCAGGTCTGTATTTTGGGATATTCTCCAGTTCTTTCTCTTCTATTCTGCTGCCTCCAGGTATTGCAATGTCCACTACCCAGATTTTTTTGTCTTTCTTATCAACAATGGTTAAGTCTGGGGTGTGGTGTGGCAGGTGCTTGTCTGCTTGAATTCTAAAGTCCCAGAGCACTGTACCTTCTTCATTTTCGATTACTTTGTCTGTTTTGTGGTTGCAGGTATTTCTTGCAGATCTTCCAATGCATCATTGTTGCTACTTGGTCATGCCATTGCTTGTAGTCAATCTGTGTGATCTTTTTACAGCAGCTGACTAGGTGATCCGCTGTTTCTTCAGCTTCTTTGCAGAGGCGGCATTTGCTGTTCGTTGCTGTCTTCTTAATTCTGGCTTTGTATGCATTTTTTCTTAAGAGTTGGTCTAAAGAGCCAGCCAGAATTAGCCCCTCTGTCTCTTTCGTCAACTTTCCTGCTCTTAGCCATTGCCAGGTCTTCTTGTTATCTACATTGCTAGCTAGTTTTTTTGTGTACTGGCCATATAATACTTTGCCTTGCTGTGTCTCTTTTCTATTCTTCATTTGGTCTTTCTGGTAGGCCAGTTTGGTCTCTTCAGTATTCAGTAAGCTTTCATGATGTACTAGCTTCAGTACATCTTCTTCACTGTCCTTTAGATATTCTTCTAATGCCTTTTTTTCTTCTTCAATGGCCTGGTGTACTTGTAACATTCCATGACCATCTATGCTCCTTGGTAAGAAGAGTCTGTCAACATCGCTA